GACGGATACGGCGCCAACCAATTATACAACAACAATAATAACAATAATAATAATTATTTAAGAGAAGATTTGTACGAAAATAATAAGGAACTTAGACAAGGCGCAGAAGTGTACAATAATAACAACAACAATAATTATAACCTAGGAAGTGGCAACAGCAAAATTTACAACAACAATAATAACAATAACAATAACTATTTAAGAGAAGGCCTAAAAGGTATTAAAAATCAAGAAATCGTCGAACTTGACAATCAAAATACTCTACAACTTGTAAATAACGACCAACAACTTATTGATAACGAAAATAAGCAGGATGTCCGGCAAGGTGTCTTCAATAATAATAACAACAATAACAACAACAATCACGGAGATGGTCGTAGTGCTAAGATTATGAATAACAATAATAACAACAACAATTTAAGAAAAGCTTTACATTACATTATGATACACCATACTAACAGAACCAAAAACAGATTCGGTGATTCTAGTTCTGATTTATACGATTACTCCGGTTTCGATTCTGATAATAGTGATGATGACGGACAAGATTATTATGGCAATGGAAACTTTTACAGCGCCAATGAAATAATAGGAATTGCAACAAATAAAAATCAAAATCAAGCAAAGTTTTGTAATCTAGAGTATTGTTTAATTAATAAAGTAGAACGTCGTGACATTGACCCAAATAACAAAGCACTAAGAAAAGGTCAGAAACCAAAACAACGTTTAAGTTCATTCCAGTTCAAAATACCAGAAATTAGAGATGCAACAAATGATAACGGTCAGCAACAAAGTCTCAACTTAAATGACATGCAAGATATACAAGAACCAGGCTTGCTTATAAATGATTTTCCAAAGGTAAAATATGGAGGTCAGCAAGAAAATGTAAACTTAAACGACGTTCAAGATATACAAGAACAAGGTGTCCTTATAAATGATTTTCCTAACACAAAAAACGTTTATAATGAACCAGAATACAATGCTAAAACTAAAAATAATTACAACGTCTATAATTTCGAAGACCAAGGATATAACGCGAAAACAAAATATGATTACAATGGCTATAGTCCAAAAACAAAACACGGTTACAGTAGACTAAAATACACTAAAAACACAAAAAATTTAAGAGCAGGAAATAATAATGATGAGCAACAACATAATTTGGAAACTAAAGATGTCAAAGATGAAGATGATACAAAAACGAAAAATTCTGAGGCAGAATTTACTTCAAAAACAAAGAATGTTCAAAAGACATCAAATATAAGGGCAGGACTCAATTATGATGAGCAACCATATGGTTCAAAAACTAATAATTTCAATAGCCAATTTGACAAAAACATAAAAAATGTTAATGAAAACTCAGAGTATGCATTAAAAACAAATGTGCCTATGCCACTATATACTTCAAAAACTAAAAACGCTTATGACAACGCAGGATATACTTCAAAGACTAAAAACGCTTATGACAACGCAGGATATACTTCAAACACTAAAAATTTTTATGACGACTCAGGATATATCTCAAATACAAAAAATATTTATGACGACACAGGATTCACTTCAAACACAAAAAATGGTTATGAGGATTCAGGATATACTTCAAAAACTAACAATGCTTATGATAACTCAGGATACACCTCAAAAATAAAAAATGTTTACGAGGATCCAGGATATACTTCAAAAACTAACAATGCTTATGACAACTCCGGATATACCACAAAAACTAAAAATGTTTATGAGAACCCAGGATATGCCATAAAAAGTAAAAATGCTTATGATGACTCGGGCTACGCTTCAAAAAACAAAAATTATTATGACGACTCAGAGTATTCCTCAAAAACTAAAAATATTAACAATGAGGTAGAATACAGTTCAAATATTAAAAATAGTTATGATAACTCAGGGTACAATTCAAATACAAAAAATGCTTATAATGTACCCGAATACACTAAAAGTTCAAAAAATGTAAGGAGAAGTGTTGATAAAAATGACTTACAAAATGATTCTCAAATAAAAAATGTGAATGAAGAACTACAACATGATACAAATACTATTACTGTTAAGAACGCATATCCTTTAGTGACCCAAAAGCGTCACAAAGAGAAAGACTCCGAACATAATTCAAAAACAAAAAAAGAAGGTGATCTTAGGTCAAACTTTCAACACAGTCATAAATCCCAAATGTATAATGAATTTAACAATATGGTATCGAATGTTAACGATTACCCTGGATCAGTATATACTTCGAACCCAAATAATTATTATAATGCAGTAGAATATAACCAACACTCAAATGATGCCTACGGTATACCTGCATCTACTAATATTATAAACGTAATACAAAATCCAACAGGAAAACCTGAACATTCCGGATTAGGTCTTAACCTTGGTATGAATTTCGGCCTTGGCGTTGGTGTGGGTAAAAAAAAACTGAGATCGGCAAAAGACCAAAATACGCAACTCCTAAGGTCAGGGGGACATGATCAAAAAGGAATATTTAATCCACAAAGTGAGCAAAAAGCATATTCTGGTGGGAATGTAGGCCCAAAAAAACATATCCGCAATAACAATAATAACAACAACAACAATTTAAATTCTGGAAGAGGAGTAAGCCCTCAAAATCAACCAAATTTAGACTATGATTGGGTAAATGGTAAGACACAATCAACGGGGTCAGTAAAACAAGTAAATGGATTACCTTTAAGGTCTGGGCAACAAGTAGCGCATAATTTTAATTCTGAAATCAACTATCACAATAAACAAAAACTACACCCTCCAAATCAGAAGAATCTAAATTATGAGAAAGATGACGTCCAGGTACAACATAGTGAGTCCACAAAAAATCTAAACAATAAAAATCGGAGGTTTGAGGGACAAAAAGTGCAAAATTTAAACTCTGGGTGGAGCTATGGGCAAAAAGAACTTGCCAACGCAAACATGCATGGACAAATTGTGAATAATGATAATTCTAGAGGAGTAAATTATGATCAAAACGAAGACCGTCACTCAAAAACCGAGCAAGGTTTAAATTTAGGAATGACTCGAGGCAATAAAAAACAAATCTTGAACAACAACAACAACAACAACAACAATAATAACAATATGTATAACGATAACGGCAATTCAAACTCTGGATTAAATTATGGCAATACAAAAACTCTAGTGACTCCCAATCAACAGAAAACAAATTTTGAATTTGAAAATGGTCAAACACAAGAAATTGGATTACGGTCAAGTCAAAAAACGCAAGGTCGAAGGTCTGAGGAGCAAATTGTACAGAATGTAAATTCTGATTGGAGCTATGGTAAAAATGGACAGGTTGGCGGGCAAGATGTAAAAAATCTGAATTCGGGATTGAGTCATGGCAAAAAGAAAAAAATCATCAACAATAACAACAACAACAACAACGACAACACTGCTTATAACGACAATAATGATTTCAATTCTGGGGGGACTTACGATTACGGTCAACATAAAGGAACTGCAAAAAATCTAAATAAACAGCGGAGGTTTGATGGACAAGTAGTGCAAAATTTAAATTCTGGATGGAATGACCACAAAGAACATGTTGGTGAGCAAAATGTAAATAATATAAATTCTCGATGGAAATATGGTCAAAACGAAAATCTTCAGTCGGATAACGGGCAAGGTTTAAGTTCTGGATTTAGTCAAGGCAAAAAACACCAAATATTGAACAACAACAATAATAACAACAACAATGTTTATAACGATGACAGTCATTTAAATTCTGGATTGAATTATGACAATACAGAAAACGTAGTAAATCAGCCGAATTCAAATTATGAGTGGGATAGTGGCCAAACACAACAAATTGGATTAAGAAAAAGTTTAAACGAGCAACGTCGAAGGTCTGGGGAACAAATCGAGCAAAGTCTAAATTCTGGATGGAGCCATGGTCAAAATGGATATGTTGGTGGGCAACATGAGAATAATCAAAACTTTGGAGGAAAACATGGTCAAAATGAATATCATAATCTACGAAACGAGCAAAATACAAATTCTGGGTGGAATTATGGCCACAATGAACACATTGGCGCACAACATGACAATAATCAAAATTCTGGATGGAAACATAGCCAAAAAGAACGTTCTCACACGCAAAATGAGCAAAATGTTAAGACTGGGTGGAATAATAGCAAAACTAAACAACTCAACAGGCGTGAGAATAAACTGAATTCTGCAAATAACCTACAAAAAAGTCTTGATGGTCAAAGCGAGCGAAACTTAAATTTACAAAATAAGAGAAAGAATTTAGGTATTAAAGTAAATGGGTTAGAAAACGGCCAAAGCAAAAATGAGCAGTATCGAAGGTCTGCCTTAAGACAGGATAATCAAGTCACACAAAGTGAGCAAAATCTAAATTTTGGGTGGGGAAATGATAATCCACATTTAGGTTCCCAAAATAAAGGAAAAATTCAGATATCTGATATTGGCGCTTCACGAAATCTAAACTCTGAATGGGGAAATAATAACCAAAACTTTGATTCCCACAATGGGCTAAACACTCAGATATCTGAATTTGGGATTGACGATATACCAAAATTTGACCCTCTTAATACGCAAAATATTAATTCTGCATGGAACTCTGATAAGCAAAAAGTTGACTTTGGAACTCGAAAAAATCTAAAACTTGACTCTCAAAATCAATTAAGTCTTAACTCCGGGTGGGGAAATAATAACCATAAATTTGAATCCCAAAATAATATAGTCACTCAAGTATCTGACTTTGGCCAAAAAACGACATTTGACCCTCCAACTGAGCAAAATCAAAATTCTGACTGGGGGATTCATACCCAAAAAGTTGACTCCCAAAATCAACAACCAATTCAGGTATCTGACTTTGGAACATCTAGAAAAAAAAAACTTGACCCACAAAATCACTAAATTAGTGATGAAAAATATTTACATTTTATTTCAATAATTTAGTTTAATGATTTTGTGTGTTGAGTTTCATTTTGGGCTATGGTAGAATAACAACGAGGGACATGCTCTCATAAGTTTTCTGATGCTGAGCTACATCCCCTTTGAGATATGTGTTTTGAAATTTGATATTATATATTTATTTATTGGTTTCGTGTTAATATTATTTGCTTCTTTTTTGCTTCATGTATAATAAAACTTTCGTGTTATGTTTTGCTTCTCAAATAAACACTATTGTTATAATTAAAAGGAGCCAATTCCAAGTAGAATTACAGCTAAACGAATGCCATGATTGATCCACTTGAAACTCAGAAAGAAAAAGTTTAACGATAAAGTAAGCAAAATTTAAAATTAGAGTGAGAAATAGATAAGCAAATAGTCGACTTTCAAATCAGCTAAAAATTCAGATATCTGAATTTGGAATTCACTAAAAACAAAACATTGACTCGCAAAACGAGCAAGAATTTCATTCTATGTGGGAAAGTGATTAACAAAAAATAATATACCGTAAAATAAAAACAAAATCCATACAAATTTAATCAGATTGTGCTAAAAAACGAATATTGATTTTCAGGTTAATCACGCAAATTATGTAAAACATTATTCGGGAATTGAACAGCAACAAAATATTGATACGCAACAAAATATTGATCCGCAACAAAATATTGGTCTGCAACAAAATATTGATCCGCAACAAAATTTTGATCCGCAACAAAATATTTATCTGCAACAAAATATTGATCTGCAACAAAATTTTGATCCGCAACAAAATATTTATCCGCAACATAATATTGATCCGCAACAAAATATGGATCTGCAACAAAATTTTGATCCGCAACAAAGTATTGATCCGCAACAAAATATTGAACTGCAACAAAATCAGCAAAATTCGAATTTGGGTTGGGGGCATAACCAAAAAGCAAATCTTGATTCACAATATCCACAGAGCCGAAAATCTAGGCGACAAGGCATGTGGCAAAATAATGCAGTAGGTATGCATGTTTCTGAATCTGGACACAAAACACAGACAGTTTCGACCATAGTAACTGTAAATGGCAAAGTGCAAAAAGAAGACCGTCACGTTACCAATCAGGACCTTCCTGAAAAGTCACATACAGTTATTTTCTCGCAAGATAATTTTGGTTTGGACCATACAAATCACGGTGGTAGTGGTGGTACTATCAGCGGTGATGCAAACATCGCTGGTACAATTAGCGGTGGTACAAACGGAGGTGGTGCATACAACGGTGGTATAAATGGCGGTGGTACAATCGGCGGCGGTACAAACTACAATAATACATTCGGCGGCAGCGCAAACTATAATGGTACATTTGGCGGCGGTACAATCGGTGGTGGTACATTCGGCGGCGGTACAATCGGTGGTGGTACAATCGGTGGTAGTATATCCGGCGGTGGTACAATCGGCGGCGGTACAAACTACAATAGTACATTCGGTGGCAGTACAAACAACATTGGTAATTTCGGCGGTGGTACACACTACAATGGTACATTTAGCGGTGGTGCATACTACAATGGTACATTCGGCGGTGGTATAATCGGTGGTGGTATAGTCGGCGGCAGTACAATCGGTGGTGGTACAATCGGCGGTAGTATATTCGGCGGTGGTACAATCGGTGGTGGTACATACTACAATGGTACACTCGGTGGTGGTACAAACTACAATAAAACATTCGGCGGCGGTACAATCGGTGGTGGTACATTCGGCGGCAGTACAATCGGTGGTGGTACAATCGGCGGTGGTACAATCGGCGGTTCTGTATTCGGTGGTGATGCAATCGGCGGTGGTATAGTCGGTGGTGGTACAATCAGCGGAGGCTCAATCAACGGTGTTACAATCGACGGTGGTACAATCGACGGTGGTACAATCGACGGTGGTACAATCGACGGTGGTACAATCGACGGTGGTACAATCAGCATTGATGCAATCAGCGATGGTACAATCAACGGTGGTATAATCAGCGGTGGTACAACCAGCGGTGGTACAATCAGCGTTGATGCAATCAGCGGAGGTATAATTGGCGGTGGCACAATCGGCGGCGGCACAACCGGCGGCGGTATAATCGGCGGTGGTACAATCGGTGGCGGAACAATCGGCGGCAGTACAAACGGCGGTGGTGCATACAACGATGGCTCAATCGACGGAGGTACAAACGGCGGTGGTACAATCGGCGGCAGTACAAACGGCGGTGGTGCATACAACGATGGCACAAGCGGCGGAGGTACAAACGGTGGTGGTACAAACGGCGGTGGTACAAACGGCGGTGGTACAAACGCCGGTGGTACAAACGGAGGTGGTAAAAACGGCGGGGGTACAAACGGCGGTGGTACAAACAGCGGTGGTACAAACGGCGGTGGCGCATACAACGGTGGTACAAACGGCGGTGGTGCATACAACGGTGGTACAAACAACGGTGGTACAAACAGCGGTGGTACAACCGGAGGTGGTACGACCGGTGGTGATACACACAACGGTAGTACAAACAACGGTGGTAAAAATAGAGGTGGAACAAACAATGGTGGTGCAAATAACGGCGGTGTAGACAGCACTGGTATAAATAACGGTGGTACAAACAACGGTGGTGCATACAACAGTGGTACAAATAATGGTGGTATAAACAACGGTGGTACAAACAATAGTGGTTCATACAATAATGGTGCATACAACAGTGATACAAACAACGGTATTATAAACAACAGTGGTGCAGATAACAATGGTGCATACAACAATGGTGCACACAACAATGGTGCACACAACAATGCAGCACACAACAATGGTGCATACAACAATGGTGCATACAACAATGGTGCATACAACAATGGTGTATACAACAATGGTGCGTACAACAATGGTGCATATAACAGTGGTGAACACCACAGTGGTGAATACCACAGTAGTGAACACCACAGTGGTTCTTACAACAATGGTGCATACAATAATGGTGCATACAACAATGGTGCACACAACAATGGTGCACACAACAATGGTGCATACAACAATGGTGCATACAACAATGGTGCGTACAACAACGGTGTATACAATAACGGTGCATACAATAACGGTGCATACAACAATGGTGCATACAATAATGGTATATACAGCGATAATACCAACAACGGCGGTGCGTACAACGAAGATACAAACGCACTACAAATCAATAATGTAGAGTTATCCAAATTTCTAGAGCAGAGTACTAACAACAAACAGGAACAATTAATAAATATTATAGAAACATTATTTTCTAAAGGTCTTCAAAGTATGCAAAATAATATAAAATCAACAAAAAACCCTAGGGTCATGATGCAACAAACAGTTGAAAACGAAGTAAATAAATTTGTTAACTTTGAAAAATCCCAAAACATCGACAATGTTCTCCAAGCATACGTGCGTACGAATATCAAGCGTCTGCAAAGCATCTTTGAACAGTTCCACATTCAAGAACAAGTACGAACTGTAACTATACAAAATTACATAAAACGTATTCTGCAAGGTATTAAAATCAAATATAGTTTTGCATCGAAGCTAATAGAGGGATTCGAGATACAATTGAAACGTATAATCACAAATTTGTGTGCACAAATTCATACGTCCGTATTTAATTCTATGGTTATTACAAGTACCACAACGATCATCGAAACAATTATTAGTTTGGTCCGGAAAATATTGTTCCAAAGGTTTATATTTTATTATAATTCAAATATTAGTAAGGATACCGGTGTAGTTATAAAGAAAAATCCTTATTTGGAATAAAGGATGTTCTAACATCAAATTATTCCCCCCTGAAATAATCGTTGTAATGTCTATATTATGTATACACAATTCAGCAATATTACTGTATACTACTGCAATAAAATATAACTGTTCAACAACATCTTTCGATTTTTAATAAAAGAAAACCCTACCCTCATCTCAAACCAAATCTCAGTGCATCCATGCAAATGTAGCCAAATAACTTAATAGATAACAACGATTTGAATATAGTTTGAAGCATTTTTTCTGTACTACTTGGATTGATCATTATTATTCAGGGTTATTCGTAAATTACTAACTATCACGCAAAACTGCATTAAGTACTAAGATCATAAACACTAAGTGTTGTTCCATGACATTTTACTAAAAAATTTAAAAAAAGAGCTGTGGTTGCCTAAAAGTTTGACCTGCCGCTTCTCAAGGAGAGTGGCGAACTATGGCCTAACCCCTCGCCTAAGAGGAGACACGTGCCCAACAGTGGAATGTACAAACGGGTTGATGATGATCACATTTTTCTAAACATAATAAATTATACAAAAATAAACTTTTCACTTTTTGTTGTACTATCTGACACTTTCTAGATCTGTATTTCGTAGTAAGATAGTAAGTTCAAACGTGCAAGCGTCTTCCTGACGATCTACAATCCTGCCTTTTGCATCGGTTTGGTATTTACGCTAACGCCTTCTTTTACTACCACATCACCGTTACATTTTGTTAACATCTTTTAGAGCAACCTATACCAATATTATTTTTCAATTTAACTACAATCTGATGAATTATTAGAAGTCGTGCGACAAAAGTTGTTGTTTATGACGTTAGTTATATGTTATCCAGAGTCTTCACGAATATAAACCGGGTATTCCATCACGCATGTTTAGTAACCGCTACGCTACATAAACTTTGACTTCTACATGATAAAGTTACATTTCTTTAAACAAAAAAGGAGGTCTGAATAAATACAGTATAGTAGAATCTAGACCATATTCTTATTAGATAAGATATTAATTTATTTATTATAATACTGAATGCTTGGACGCTTGAACGATTGAACAAACAAAGTTCTATATTGCATTGATTTGGACTTCCAAAGTTCGCGATGCGTAGCCCGATGTCGATCAGCCGCTGTCACGCTTTCAAAGGAACCTTTCAACATCACCTTATTGATTGTCATGATATTTTCATCATCAACCTAACTATACGTCCCAATGCCGGACACGGGTTCCTCTCAGGCGGAGCTGAGCTGGATTCGATCCCACGGCCTCTGGTTGAGAGGCGGTATGTTAAACCAAGCTACCACATCTGTTATTTTGATGATATTAATTTATTTTTATGTAATTATACCACTAGTTTGTTATAATTATTAAATTCTTTAGATTTGACAGAACACGAACCTGCGTCTGTATGCGAAAGTTTTATTCGCCGTTTTTATTTTACGAATTTATGCTTCATTCATCAGAAAACATATTATGTTCTTTATTATTATTGGATTTTGCATAGTGAGCGCGTTTAATATTCTTTATTTTTTGTTTTTAAAGAAATATAATTTTATATTGTGGAAGATAAAGTTTGTATTGCATTGCACTGCAGCGTTATCGCGTCGCTGCGTCAATCATTAGCTTTTTTCTAAAATTTAATGAAAGCTAAATCCAGCCCAAGGAAAGAATACTCATAGGTGTTTAGCATTTACGAGATTATAAGCTTTGTACAAAAGGTTCAACTTCAAACTTAAACAAAAGTTTTCCGATAACGTGAGCAAAATTTAAAATTAGAGTGGGAAATAGTCGACTTTCAGGTGAGTTAAAAATTCGGATATCTGAATTTGAAATTCACTAAAAACAATAACTTGACTCACAAAACGGGCAAGGGTTTAATTCTATGTGGGAAAGTGATTAACAAAAAATAATATTATTTTGTACACCGTAAAATAAAAACAAAATCCATACAAATTTAATCAGATTGTGCTAAAAAAACAAAATTGATTTCCAGGTTAATCACGAAAATTATATAAAACATTACTCGGGACAGCAACAAAATATTCATACGCAACAAAATATTAATCCGCAACAAAATATTGAACTGCAACAAAATCAGCAAAATTTGAATTTCGATTGGGGGCATAACCAAAAAGCAAATCTTGATTCACAATATCCACAGAGCCGAAAATTTGGGCAAAAAGGCATGTGGCAAAATAATGCAGAAAGCTCAAATAGGGCAGTTGGTATGCATGTTTCTGAATCTGGACACAAAATTGAGACAGTTTCGACCATAGTAACTGTAAATGGCAAAGTGCAAAAAGAAGATCATCACGTTACGAATCAGGAACTTCCGGAAAACTCACATACAGTCATTTTCTCGCATAATAATTTTGGCTTGGACCAAACAAATCACGGTAGTAGTGGTGGTATAATCAGTGGCGATGCAAACACCGGTGGTGCAAACAGCGGTGGTGCAAACATCGGTGGTGCAAACATCGGCGGTGCAAACATCGGAGGTACAATCAGCAGTGGTGACACCAGTGAATCTATAAAGAAAAGTTCTTATCTGGAATAAAGGATGTTCTAACATCAAATTATTCCCCCCTGAAATAATCGTTGTAATTTCTATATTATGTATACACAAATTAGCAATATTACTGTATGCTACTGCAATAAAATATAACTATTCAACAACATCTTTCGATTATTAATAAAAGAAAACCCTACCCTCATCTCAAACCAAATCTCAGTGCATACATATTCAAATTCAAATGTTTTATTGCATACATGTTATTAAAAAATAGATCTTAATACATACAGTATCAAACATGAACTCTACAAGGGCACAGCAATGTAAATTTTTAAGGACATTCTATATGTATCCAAAGTTGTATTACAATTCATTATATTTCATTTAAAATTAGATAAATTAAAAACAGAAATTATTACAAATAGTCAAAAGTACAATTAAGTAAAATTGTTAAAGTATATAAAGATATAAAGAATTAAAAATATGAAGATTATTACAAATTGTCAAATTAAGACTAAATAGTGTATTTGTATAATA